TGTGTGAGTTTAACACTGACTAGAATTGTGCAAAGTCTAAATAATTGTACAGTATTCTACAGTAACAGACAGAAGCCAGGACTTCCCTTTGTGCTGGAGTCCTGTTTATTTGAGCGAAGAGATGAGAGGAAACATGAGCTGTGATCCGTCTGCAGCCTCAGTTCCAGAAGCAAAAAGCCTTAAACTTAAAGCTGGGGTACCTGACTTTCACATAAGATGTATTCATTATACATAAAAGGGCCTTTATTATTTTCATATTTGTTACATTTGCACATTTCCTGTTTGCACATTTTGATCTGGTTGATGCCAAATGTAACATGTGACATCAATACAGTTTTATCTTTCCTTCAAACTACAACAAAAGTAACTCAGTACAAGTAATAGTAATAAATAGTAATAGTAATAATAAGTAAAACAATCCATGTAACTAGTTCCTCGCTCTCAAAATTGTTATTGTCAAATCTGTATCAGCTTTTTTAGACCGAAAAGTAAAACAGAGGACCACCCTGTCTGTCTATTTGGTCACAACATTTCAGTTATTATTTGACTCATTTGTTTACTACTTTTATTTAAGACTCTTTTGTTTTGTGATAAACTAGTATTATTCATTTAAAAGTTAGGTACCATAGCTTTAGCAGACACTTTATCTACCATTCAAATCACATTCATGCATTGGTTTATAATGGGATTTTAAAGTTTTATTATAGGTTTTTCTCAGGTGGAAGGATGCCTGTTTTATTTATGGTCATATATGATGGCAATATGTCATTCGGCCAACTTCAGCGTCATCATAGCTAACTGTGGAGCTTAAAACAGCCTGAATCCGGGTGATCAGCCGCTAGACAAGCCTGGTCAACTAAAGTGGCCCTCTTACTAAAAGTTTTGGACACCTCTACATTAGACAGAAGTGGCAAGAGAGAACCATAGCATTTATGGAGTTTTGTAGAAGATAAAATCAGTTGGAATTTAAAGTAAAGCCTGATGTGTGTCTTGAACCTGTTTACTATTTAAAACAACACGCTTTTCCACACGTATCGGGCATTCTTCCATGTTTTCATGTTGTTCTCTATCATTGTTGTATCATTATTGTGCGTCTGTTGTGTAAGGTCCCAGAGGATCCGCTCTGGTTGTCGTGACTGAGCAGATGTGAGAGAGACACAGCTGCTGCTCTCACTGGGAAACAAGGAGAATGTGGGATCTAAGTACACAGCTCACTCATTAACTATGTGTACACAGTCCATTTATCCATCTATCTGTCTTTCTATCTATCTATCTGCCTATCTATCTACCCATCCATTGATCAAAAAACGTCCTCAAATCAAAATTGAAATCATAATAATTTGTATCAACCAAAATCAGAGTCAAATCCACACAGAAACATGTCACTTATAGGAGCAGTATGTAAAAATCTGACTAAAATTGGCACTGCACTCTCCCTGTCTCAGGTTGCCAGATATGCAGACGAATCTAGCAGGGCACATAATGGGCTCTATGCACGCACCACTTCCGCGTTTTAGTTAAAAACGACACTTGACTTCCGGTTCGCGTGGATCGGCTTGAGTTTCACTGGAGTTCAGCAGATATTTACACAAGTTTCCTAAATAATGCTCAAACAGGAATTAAACTGTGAGGATGCAGTGCATTGTGGGACACAGCAGCGCTCTTTTATTGAGCTGTCATTGTGCTTTTATAAAGTTAAAGCTGCACTAACTGACTTTGGGATTTTGAAGCCTCGGACTCGCTGGCCTCGCTCTTTCTGCTCCCCTCCCCGCACCCACGAAGCTATCGCCCCCACACACACACAGTGTTGTTGACAGAGCTAGCGTCTTCCAATATGGATAATACATGCATATGGATTTGCACGTGGATGGCGTGACCATAGAACGATAGAACCGGGAAGCGCGGAGGAACATGACTTTCTTTTGGATGGCTGTTTCGCTGAGTAAGCAGTAACCGGTGACGAAGACGAGGAAGCTTCAGGTTAGCCCCGCCGCTTGTTGTGCTAACTCAGCTGTTTGTGCTAACGGTCTGTAGATTTCTCACGAAAGTGGGGGCTAGTGGTCACAATCTGCGACCCGAAACACATTCTCTTCCTTGTTTCATCAAAACTCAATCTAAAATATAATGTCAACAAATCTGCCCTACTTTTTCTTCAAAAGGACGTTAAAGTGCAGCTTTAACTAATCTCTCTGAATGGCCACAGTCAAAGCTATTCCTCAGAGAGAAAGCACGTCAACACTCAACAGTCATTACTAAATTACACTAATTACAACTCACCACAATCCCATAGCGATTGCATAGTCAGGAAGTAAACGAGCGGTTCTTTGTTTACAGGAAATGACGTCACGCCTTCCCGTGCATATAGCCCATAGTTGAATAGACCAGAGTTTTGTCAACAACAAATTTATAACCAACACCTTTTTCACAAAGATAGAAATCCTTGTTTTATTCCTTGTTTTGTTGTTAATGATTTGAGAATCATAACAAGTTCTGCGGCCACATGTTCCCGTGACATTAGCTTGACGCAGTGAGTTCTGGCAACCCGGATCACAGACTTTCTGATTGGTAAAACGGTGGAAGGCGGGACATCGAAATGAAAACAATAACAAGATTTAGGGGCTGTAAAACTAATTTTGAAATCTAATCATCTCTGAACTACTGTTATCAGTTAAATAAGTATTTTAAAAGATCATGGTTTGTTAATGCATTTTGACAGATTAGGGCCATATGATGAAGACTTGACATGAAAATCTTACATATTGCTACTTTCAATCATCAAAATAATCCCTTGCGACAGCCCTAGTAGTCCATTGAAAAACCCGTACCAAATACACATCCTCCCTGCTCACAGATCTGACATGTAACGTTGCTGCTTTGTGGCTTTGTGACCTGCTTACCAGTGTCCAGGCAGAGAAACGCTGGCTTTGCTTTCACTTCCTGGGTCTGAAACACAGTACTTTGCGTCGCTGTCAAGCTTTGTGGCTTGTTTGAATAAGTCAGTGTAAGCAGCTCTTTAAAAAGGGGAGGGAGACGATTTGTGGGGATCATCCGAGCAGCGAAAGGCTCTGTTTGTCCGTTTGAATGTCTTTTGTGAAAGTGACAATGACACAACGCTGTATTGGGTCCAGGAAGTGTTTGGTCGCCTTTTATTCACTACACAATGGAGATAGTGCATGTAGGCTTAGTGTTAGTCACAAAGGAATCTACTGTATCTATCTATCTATCTATCTATCTATCTATCTATCTATCTATCTATCATACTTTCTGCATTACAAGGCACACCTTTATATAAGCTCCAAGCGGTACCAACATTTTCTGTCTATCACATTTTAATGGGCAGTGGATGTCTTTCCTTGAAGGCCACAGCTTTGGAACTAGTTCAACACTTTTGTATGTAAGGACTAAAGCAGTGTTTTTGGTGTCTGGTGTGTCGTGGGAAATTAGCTTACTTTGTCCAAAAATAAATACACCTGTGTGCTGTTGGCGAGTGCTGACTTGTTTTTGAGTAACTGCGTATACTTAGGTGGCAGCAGATAGCTCATTACTTTACTGTAAGACGTAAGAATTGGATGTGACCACATGATGTAACAGGTAGCGGGGAGCATTGTGGCTCGTGAGAAGTGAAAGTGATTGAGACGTTTTTGAAAAGGAATTGTGCCATTTCTGAACAGTATTCACATCCTGTGTACTGACAGCCAACAACAGCTCAGTGAACGCACATCCATAAAGTGGTGCCGAGCGAGGGCCATAGATGCACAGACAGAACCATCTCCAGTGTCTCCTCCCGAACCACAACCACAACATTGAGTCATTTGTGCACATCATTGTAGCAGTTTCTCCTTTGAACAAATTACAAATGCTTTCGGACATGTATCAGTTACTTTCATACAGTTCTCTGCTGTTTTAAAACATTATCATTTGGTTCTATCTTGTCAGTCAAAATGAAACATACTGTACTTATGACTTCTGATTATTTATTCCTTATAAAACTAATAGACCACATTTCATTGTTTTCTAAATTGAGCAATTGCTCTCAGGTGAATTTCAGTTTTCACTTATGATGAGGTGTGTTCCTCGCTGCCTTCAAGGGTCGACCTCTGCTGTGATGTAGATGAAAATATGTGACACACAGGAAGGCGTGGATGTCCTGGAATAATTTATGTAATTCTTTTCAGTTTTTCATCAAAATGTATGTTATATTGTTAACATTTGTGCAGTTTTACCATAATGGTCTTTCTTATGTGTGTTCTAAATAACAGCTGTACAGTGTATAGTGCTCAGGCGACAGGAGCTCAGTTGGTAGAGCATTGGCCCGTGGCTGTAAAGTGCCAAACTGCCGTTATGTCCTTAGGCAAGACACTTCCCCCCCATTGCCCTAGAATGAGTCTGGTGTGTGTGTGAATGGTTGGTGGTGATCGGAGGGTGTGGATAGTACATACTGGCTGCCTCGCTTCTGCAGTGTGCCCCAGGGCAGCTGTGGCTACAGTAGTAGTTTATCACCACTGTGTTTGGAGTGAATGAATAACGACATGTAAATTCGTCTTTGAGTGTCCAAAAAAGCGCTATATAAAACTGATGCATTATTATTATTCACCAGTGTTACCAAGATTTGACTTTTTTGCATTGAAAACCCACAGAGAGTAAACTGTCACAATGAAAACATAAAGAGAGTAGTGTGTGTGTGTGTGTGTGTGTGTGTGTGTGTGTGTGTGTGTGTGTGTGTGTGTGTGTGTGTGTGTGTGTCTGTCTGTTTGTGAATGCAGCCATAATTCCACATACATAATATAAACTGAAATCTTAATGCATTTATCTTGTTAGAAGAACTGCTGAAATATTTTCTATTTCAACATAAACTTGTAATTTCACCAGTGAATATTTAAACCACGTCATGTTGTGTGTCTTTACGCTGATAACTGGATGTAGGAGGCAGATTTCATGTTTCAGTGACTCATCTTCAGTCCCACTGGCTCCAGACTCAAAAAGGCTCAAAAGCTTCAATTATGAAACAGGCCGCGTCTGCAGCAGCGCGAGGACAGCGACATCTTGTGGTCAGAGGTGGACCGACACTATTACAATTTTTCTCAGTCGTTTTGGTGCATTTTTCACAAAGACTGTATTTAGAGAGGTAACTGACATATATGTATGTATGTGTGTGTGTGTATGTGTGTGTGTATATGTATGTGTGTATGTATGTTCTGTATGTATGTATATATACATGTGTAGCAGTGTGGAGTGCGTCTGCCCTCCCCTTACCTGTTTCATTGAAACACCACCTCACGCACCTGCCTGCCACTAATTGCAGGGGCAGGACCTGTGGGTTGTTTTTTTTAAGCCTGAGCCTGAGGGCGCTCACTCTTTTGCCACTCCTGCGGGAAGCAGCAGTCTCTTTGGGTCCGTGGAGTTGTGCTGGTGGGGAGCCTCACACAGTGGTTGGTGGCCCTGTTGGCACGTATGTGCTTGTGCGGCGTGAGCGCTGCCCTGGGAAACGCCTTCTGCTCGTTTTGGTGAGTGCGCATCATTTATCCCACACTTCCACTTGCGCGCATTTGACACTCACGCGCTTTCCTCCTGCTCCAGTGTGGCCAGCTCCTCCAGTGTGGCAAACCTTAGTGAAGGGCCTGTGTGAGCCCGTTGTGCTTCTCAGACGTTACTTGTGGGTAAGCATGGTGCCATCTTCCCTCTGACCCATTTGGCTGTCCCCAGTCCCCCTAACAGCTCATTTTAATTTAGTTGGTGCTAAATTACGCACAACGGAGGTTGAGAGCGCGCCTCCGTTCGGGGTCTGGGGGACCGGTGCTTTCTCTGAATGGTGAGTTGCCGTTATTGCCTGATGTATACTCAAATTCTAATCTTTAGTGGTCTAACCCCAGCTTCCCTGCACTTCAGCGGGACCGAGCTGCACCTCCCGCGGCAGTTTGGAGACTGCCAATCATCACAAGTACGCAAATTCTGAGCCCCGTTTCCACCGGCGCAGCTCCTCCTGCCTCCACTGCTCTGGATTGACCCCACAGGCCAGAGGCGCTCCAGTTGTGGACACTGATCATCAATATTAGGCCCACAGAGCACCTGGACACCCAAACTGTAAATTTGTACATTTTAACTGTAATTGAGTTTAGGATTGTTTCATCTTTTTTTTTCTTTGTCCTTTGCATGTGTGTGTGTGTGTGTGTGTGCATGTGTTTTTTTGTGTTTGGCTTTTGGCAATTACCATTATTAATCAAATGTTCCTAACTTAATGTTTTAATGAAAATAAATGTTGTACTTTTGTAGTCAAGTTTTGGTTTTGTCTCTGCCCCCATCACTTTAAAAAGGGAAGCGAACCTGTGTCTGCCTTGTGCAGGGTCCTAGGCCTATCCTAGGTGGCATTGTTGACAATAGCAAAATTTTTAACCTGTACTTTTAACCCTCGTTATGTCACACATGTATGTATGTATGTGCCCTGCATGTCTTTCACATATTAGCTGCATTTGCTCTTTGCAATTCTACAGCATTGTGCAACAAAAATACAGTCACATACATGTATACAATGGTGTAGGTTTGGTTCCAATCTTGGTGGGGACATTCACTACGACCTGAGTCTACACCCATTGACACGGGGTCCAGAGTTTCTCCCCCAGAATTTGTGGTGTAATCACACACTATATTTGCAATAGTGTGTTGCCTTCTATACTAAACTCAGCTGTAGACTGAATGAGAAGCAGTTAAGGATTTTTTTCTAATAGTTAAAACAAAATCAATTGGATCAGCTTCTGAGTTTTGTGTTGCGTTCATTCTATACTGACTTAAACCTAATCCAAATCTACATAATAGCCCTCACCTGAGGCTCTACCAGTTCAGGAACTGCTCTCGATACTTGAAATAAATCATGCTCTGATCTTTCAATTTCCTATAATAAATAAAAACAGAAGAAAATATTGAATTAGAATCTACAGTGAGTAGCTCACTACATTGTTTGACATATACGATCAATCTCTAAAAACAATTCATAGTCCCATGCAAACCTACAAAATTCCAACCTCACCTGATGCACTGAAGGGCCTGTTGCTTCTACCTCAACATTCCCTATATTCTCTTTTGTTGGTTGAGTTTCCTATGTATGTTAACAGAAGATTAATCATCACAATTCATAATTTGCTATTACTTGTGCTTTCTCTTACTTACTTTCCAACTGTTAAAAAAGCTGATATCTTTTATCTTTTTTTGTGGAGGTGGCATTTTTTCTAAATTATATAAGAAGGTATAGAAAATCAAAAACAGACATTCATATACATGAACTGCAGAATCATTTATATAACTTGGCCAATGTCAAAAGTTACATAGTATTTCTCAATACAATGAGTTAAGAGTTTGGCAATAAGTAACAGTGTGGATTTTTCTATATTTTCTTTTTTTTATTCCACTCTCTACCCAAAAAGGCAAGTAATGACTCACAGGGCTCTCAAGTATGCAAAATAAAAACTTAAATGACCTGTTGTGGTGTGTTTTGCGCACAACCAGCATGCATCGTTAACGCAATGGAAAATTTAGGTATCCGAGCTTTAATTTCGGGAGCGCTGGTTGCGCTTTGGGAAGAGTCAGGGGAGAGACATGTCAGAGACACAGGGGAGAAACGCGGGAGATACGAGGGAGACCCGCACTTGCAACATGGTTCTGTCTGCATATGGTCCGAGCTCGGTACCATGTTAGAGCTGTGCTTTCACTGAGCGCCGTGGCTGTCATTACAAAGCGGCAGCAGCTGCACCAGGACGTGCACATTCGAGTGCATCTCTTGAATGTGCTTAGAGCAAATAACAGCAAGTGCCCGCTGTCACACATTTCACAGAAATTACATTATCAGCAGATAAAGGTTGTAAATCGTGGATCCGTGGAATATTTTTATCCCTAGTTTATCCTGATTCACGCAACACACCCACTTATACATTTTGGATAGTAAGAGCACAATAAGTATTTTTTCAGCCTTTCAACCAACCTGTTTCTTTATTGGAGCCAGTTCTGTTCTGTCTCTGTGCCGTGTGAGCTCCTCGGAACATTAAACAGTGCGCTGACAGATTAGAAATAACGTAAGTACTTTGAATGGTAATAGATCTACAGTACTTTCCTCTGATTACTCACGTGCTACAACGCTCAGGGAACGAAAAAAAACACTTGCTTCACGCTGGCTAACTTAAAAAAATTAAACAGTTGCTCAGTGCTTCAGTTTGGCGCTGAAGAAGACAGCCAATCACAGCAGAGAGAGGAACGGGTCACGTGCTGCTGCTGCTGCTGTTGCTCTGGAGGCGAGGAGGAGGCGCGACGTGTGCACAAACGGAAGACATGTGTCCCGGACCGTCCGGGTCACGGGACATCATGTCATTTTGGTGGGGACTTTTTAGTCCTCACCAAATATTGGTGGGGACATGTCCCCATGGTCCCCACGCAAACCTACGCCCTTGCATGTATATACATAGTACATACTGTACATACAAGAAATATCATTATGGTAGAACTGTGACAAATGTAAACAATATAACACACACCTCCTCATGAGTGAAGCTGAAATTTACCTGAGAGAAAGATTTTCAGGGAAAAAAGATAAAGGAATGTATGAAATGAGGTTGACAGATTTTGATTTTGAACTAGTTTAACAGTTTTGTATGTGGTGACTAAAGCGATGAAATTAGGACTATAGGTTTTATAAGGACTGACTAATCAGCTTCATAAGTATGTTTCATTTTGACAGGACAGAAGCAAATGATGTTTTAAAACAGCAGAGAATTGTATGAAAGTAACTGATTCATGTCCGAAAGCGTTTGTAATCTGTTCAAAGGAGAGACTGCTGCGATGATGTCACACATGACTCAATGTTGAGGAGGTTGAACTAATACTTTTGAGAACTTTAAGTCTGATGTGAGAAATGCACCAAAGCCACTGACGAAAACCGTACATTTAGTCTCCGCTGTTTAGTGACGTCATAGCGGTCACTTGTGAGACTCACAGTGTCCACTAGATGGCAGTGCTGGCGTGTTGTTTTTCTACTGTTAGGTTTTTACAGGCTGAAAACCATCCACTGAAAGAATATTTCTGCAAATATTGAAGCTCCATTTCTTCTGTTTAGTTTTATCTTGTTTTCAATACAAATGTGTTAGTGCCTGGTCTCACACATGGATCCATCAGTTTAAGAGTCTTTTCTAGTTTTGTTGCTTTTCCCTTTGTTTATACCGAAGGTCTGGTCGTTTCGCAGGCTGTAGTTTCCACATTACATCTTTGATTTGCTGTTAGATGCTGCAACTAGTCCCTGCCTTTGTGCTAATACTTGCAAAAGCCAGATCCTGTCAGACATCTGGAGCTGAGCAGGGCAGGGCCTGGTTAGCACTGTGATGGGAGACCTCTGGGACCACCAGGTTCCACAGTGGGGCTGCTGCTGTAGAGTGCCAAACTCTGGCTGCGTCCTTAGGCAAGACACTTCACCCACATTAGAATGAGTCTTGTGTGTGTGTGAATGGTTGGTGGAGGTGGGGGGCCAATGGCACAGACCGATCTGTCAGTGTGCCCCAGGGCAGCTGTGGCTATAGTAGTAGTAGTTTATCACCACTGTGTTTGGAGTGAAAGAATAATGATGTAAAGAAACTTTGAGTGTCCTGAAAAGTATAGATCTGATGCATTATTACTATTATTATTATTTGTGTCGTTACATTTTGGCACAAATGTAAATCGATCCGCTGCTCTTCACTAGAACATGTTGCGATGATGAAAGAGGGAAGTGCAAATCAAGGATATTTTACATTTGAAAAAACATGTTTCTTACAATTGTAAAGGTTGGGTACTGTTTATTTTTTCATAAATAATACAGTTTAACAGATTTTATACTCGCTGCTTTATGAGGCTAAAGTTAGAGATTGTAACACTGAAGTACTATGCTATCACAGTACTATCACAGTACTATCACAGCGCCACTTCATAGTGGCGCTGTGATGCTGTTGTTTTCCATGTGTTCAAGGTTTTGTGGTGTTGCTGAGATTTTAGCAATAACTGAACATTTATTTGTATAGCGCAGTTTGACAAAAACACATTTGTCAAAAAGTCAATTTTAATGATTCCCCACATTGTTATCATCTGTGTGTCTGTGTGATATGACTGTTTGCGTGTGTGTGTATGATTGTGTGTGTATGACTGTGTGTGCGTGTGTGTATGATTGTGTGTGTATGACTGTGTGTGCATGTGTGTATGTGTGTATAATTGTGTCTGTGTGTGTCTGTTTTTGTGTATGATGTGTGTCTGTGTCTGTAGGCATCAAACCACGGAGTTGTCTTGTATGTGTGTATTTACAACAACATAAATCAGGTACTAATCCATTCTTGTTTTTTTTTCCTGCAGCACTCCTCCTCAGGCTGATCCTAGACCAGTGAGTTTTCTCTTCGGACCCAAACAACATCTGTGACCGAGACAGAAGTGCAGAGAGGGAGAGGAGCAAGAAGAGGAAGAGGAGGAAGAGGAGGAGGAGGAGTGTGCGCCCGGCAGATGGTGACACTGCAGCAGCCCTTCTCCAGGTGCGCACAAACTTCAGCACACAGTGATAATGTAATATTGGCACTCGGGGGGCGGGGATTAGGCAGCTCTGATTATAGACCAGGACCAGAATTACAAAACCTCCGGGACTCGACTCCACGCGGCGAGAGGGAGATAAGTTTGTCTGAGTCTCCGAAACCCTTGGAGCGCTGTCCTGGAGCAAAACAAACTCACAACAGGTCTCAGTCTGAGGTGATATTTTAAAAAACTCTTCCTCAGTTTGAAGCAGAAGAAATAATTCAATACATTCTGCTGTTGGAAAGTTTGGGGTTTGTTCTGACGGAAAAGACTTTAAGTTTAGGTTTCATTCCATGAGTTGTTTGTTATTTGACGAGGCAAGTTTATTTGTATAGCACAGTTTGTACACAAGGCAACTCAAAGTGCTGAACGAAACGAGAGAGAAACACAGATGGAAAGAGGCAGAAAAAAACAATAATATTAAAAATAGAGTGAAGATAAAATCCCTGTGTTTTTAGCCTGGATTTGAACCTTGTCAGAGAAGAAGCCTGTCTCACATTTTCAGGAAGACTGTTCCAGATTTTATTCACAGAGCGACACAGGTGCATATAGACCCAGAGAGACACAGGTACATATAGACACAGGTACATATAGACATAGAGAGACACAGGTGCATATAGGCACAGGTTCATATAGACACAGGTTCATATAGACACAGGTACATATAGACACAGGTTCATATAGACACAGGTGCATATAGGCACAGGTACATATAGACACAGAGAGACACAAGTGCATATAGGCACAGGTACATATAGACACAGAGAGACACAAGTGCATATAGGCACAGGTACATATAGACACAGAGAGACACAAGTGCATATAGGCACAGGTGCACATAGACACAGAGAGACACAGGTGCATATAGGCACAGGTACATATAGACACAGAGAGACACAGGTGCATATAGGCACAGGTGCATATAGACACAGGTACATATAGACACAGAGAGACACAGGTGCATATAGGCACAGGTTCATATAGACACAGGTTCATATAGACACAGGTACATATAGACACAGAGAGACACAGGTTCATATAGACACAGGTACATATAGACACAGAGAGACACAGGTGCATATAGGCACAGGCGCATATAGGCACAGGTTCATATAGACACAGGTATATATAGGCACAGGTACATATAGACACAGAGAGACACAGGTGCATATAGACACAGAGAGACACAGGTGCATATAGACACAGAGAGACACAGGTGCATATAGGCACAGGTTCATATAGACACAGGTATATATAGGCACAGGTACATATAGACACAGAGAGACACAGGTGCATATAGACACAGAGAGACACAGGTGCATATAGACACAGAGAGACACAGGTGCATATAGACACAGAGAGACACAGGTGCATATAGGCACAGGTTCATATAGACACAGGTATATATAGGCACAGGTACATATAGACATAGGTTCATATAGACCCAGAGAGACGCAGGTACATATAGGCACAGGTACATATAGACACAGGTACATATAGAGTAGACACAGGCACATATAGACACAGGTACATATAGACACAGGTACATATGCACAGTTCCATATAGGTACAGGATATATATAGACACTGGTGATAGGGTGGGGCAGACTCATCTCAACTGATGTCAAAACAAAAGAAATAAACAAATAATCTGTAGGAGTAGAATTATTTTTGGTAAAAGGGAAGAAAATGTCAAAGTCTGAGATTGTGTCAGACAGGCAGAAGACATGTTTTATTGTCTACGGTAGAGACCAGACGCGAACAGAGATTCCCAGAATGCAGTTGTCATTATAGCATAGAACGTCATATCAGCATTTTCCACGATGTCAGTGGCTTCGGCCTTTAGAAAACAAAAATATTCAAGTGGAAAAAACACTGTGCATTGTTGGAAAAATGAGTTTAACTTAAACCACAGTTGCTCCAAAGTGTCATGAAATCTCCCAAACAGGAAGTTGACCCCAAACAATGGCTTTCTACTTAACTATTGTGTTCCTTCAGATCGACATCAGCCACATACTCACTCCGTACACCCGTGACTCAAACTTCATATTAACTTTTGCTGTCAGATAAAAGTGACGGAGCTCTTAACTTAATGAAAGTGTCTCAGGACATTATGGATGTGTGCTATACGTTTTATTGGCTCTGGGCTTCACTGTTTGTCATCTGATATTACCACACTTAATTTCATAAGACCATACGAGCGAGAGAAAAGTTTATAATAAACTGGGATTCAAAACAGTTGCAAAGTTCTGGCAAACAATAGTGGAAGAAGATGGAAAGACAAAGCAACAGAGAGGGAACCCACTTACTTTTTTATTTTACCGTTATACCTTTTACCACACTGAGAAAAGTAACATTTTGGTAAGATTCATTCACTAAAAATAACATAACATAACATAAATTATGCTTAAGTTTTTTCAAGTTGTTCTGCTTGAATGTAGTTTGTTATAATCTTATTAGAGAAAAAAGTCTGAGCATTTTCTAGACTTTTCTTGTTTAGATAATATAAGTTTGTGATGAAATATTTTAAGAAAATATTTTGCAACAATCTTTAAGAAATAAGTAAATAATACTTTTAAAAACTAGAATCAAGTCTTTTGGGGCTCGTATTATTTTCTTATTTTCAGAAATCGTGTCAAGTCATATTTTCTTGTTCTATTCGTAGATCTTTTCTTTTTCCGATGTATAAAAAGACTAATGGAGTGTGAATGTTTTTTTTCATACATTTAATCTTATGTTAAAACTGGTCTATGGAACTTGAAACATAGAAAATGCAGATTGAGAAACCCAGAAATAAATATAGAAACATACACATAACCAGAGACCAGAGGAGCCTTCATACAGTCAACGATTCAGAATAAGTTTAAAAACAATTACACACTGTTTTAACATGAGCTCCGCAGCCAACACATGTTAACAAGGTAATATGTCAACTTTCAAAAGAACCATTAAAACATAAAAGTATTTGGTAGTAGTAGTAGTAGTAGTTTCCCCACATGGTTCAGTCTCCTGAACAGACCTTTACCACAGAAATAGATAAGATACTTTTCATGTTGAATGAATAAAACAGAGCAGGCTTTTACTGCAGCAGCAGCTCTGACAGTTTCAGACACATGTGGGTTTCTCCGCAGACGACATCAGGCACAAAAACTGTTTTGATCCGAACGAGAAGAGCCCAGAGAGGATTGTGGGTAGCAGACTATTATTACGCCTATGTATGTTCTTTGTGAGGAAAAAGACAAAAATACTCAAAAATCTTGAATTACTCAATGAAGATTTATCATTGAAACAAGTATCTTTAGCCGCATTTTTATTATTTTTCATATGCTAATTTGTCATTTTTGAATTTGGAAAAAAACCAATTTGAGCTTCTCCCTCTGGTGGCAGGTTAGGGAGTTACAGACAAAAAGCATTGTTGTCCCTTCGTACTTGTTTCACTGTATATTTTCAACTTCAAACATAAAGTGACAACACCAAAGGTGTTTATTGTTTTCCTTCTTCATGGCTCCGTCTCTTCTTTAACACCTTGAATCCAATAACACAACATAAACCCAATACTAATGTTTTAATAAGGTCCGTTAAATGTCACATAATATTAGAATCTTTTTCACTTTCAAACATGCTGCATTATTCCCTCATCATTCGGACCTGGACCTGAGACTATTACCACAAACTCATGACAACTGCAGCAGCGCACTGATAGATACACACTTGTAACGAAAAGTCAAGTAACTGTAATCAGAGATCGCATAAAACCGTAGTATCAGTATCGTAGTGCTGTTGTGACCGTGTGTTGTCTGTGTGTTGTCAGTATGGAGGAGACCGTGAGGAACATCCTTCAGAACCAGGACTCGATGGAGGGGCCTAAAGTGGACCCCCTGGACCTGATGAAGGCCTATAAGGTGAGGCACAGACACACAATGTTTCCTTCCTCTTCCTGTTTGAAAGTGTTGTTAAGTTGTTCTTATATTGTAGTAGGGCTGGTTGATATATCACAATATAAATCATTCATATTGGTCATTAACGATATATATATTGATTGTTTTTTATTTTTGTTTTTAAACCTAAATAAATACATTTGTCGTGTCGGCTGACACACGTTAGCAGCCCTTGTTTATAGTGACGGGGTAATGAGGCTCGATGAATATGTTCACAAGCACAGTGTCCCCCATTGTTAGTCCTGGTTTAGTCCTGGTTTAGCTCCTGTTTTGGCTGTTTTCGAGGCTCTTGTGTCCCTGTGACGGCTCCGGAAAAAGTCCATCTCTTGCTTTCCCCCCGAAAGTCTCTGTACCTACTGCCTCTACCGCGCCACACATGCTATTCCTCGCACAGACGTGCATAACCATTGACACGGCATTGAAACACGATGTAGATACGTATGTTTTTGCATTTCCCAGAATATTTTGCGGTTCCTGCCCGGCTGTGATGATAGGTCGAGGAGCCTCTGCCTACATCCCCCAGAATCCAGCTCGCTTCTGACTTGGCTTTACTTCCTGTGTTTTCTTCCTGTTTTTTTCTCACGGAGTGAAGTTAAACTATCAAACATTCTATCGACCTCGTTTTCTATTGACATCGAACACGTGTCTATCACGATTTATATCGTTATCGTTTTATCGCCCAGCCCTATATTGTAGCATTAGCACTATAGTAGACTATGTGTACTATCCTTGAACCAAGTTCAATTAAAGCTCCAGAGTTTTACTGTATGTTATTTTCTTTTATATAATTTCATCACTCAAATCTGCACCAAAGACAATGCAGTACTCATCTCTGTATTCAGTATCTGCAAGTTCTCAAATTAAAGTACTCGTATTATATCGGTTTTGAAAAAAGTAGTAATTTTTACGAACAAAGGTCTATCTTATCTTACCTGTACTTTTGAACATGGTAACGACACACATGAAGTTTAGATCGTCTACATCATTATTGTCAGGGAGGATAAAAGTTTTAATTGCAGCTCGAGCCATCAGCCTTCACCACTTTCAAATCCACTCAAAACACATTCAATACTTTTAAATACTTTTAAAATCCATATTCTCTTACGATGTCTGTGACGAGATCTGAGACTGATGGCGGCTCCAAGTCTAAACTGTACAATAAGTGCAGATGAGGTATTGATTTTAGGTCTTCTCTTTGTCTGACAAATCGCTGTCAACCACTTGAGAACACAGCAGGTCTTCGAACCGATTCCTCTGGTCATAAATCCAGGCTCATTACAGCCGCAGCAAGTCCATAAGGAGCGATTCTCACATGTCATTATGATTTATTTTATTTTATTGCAGAATCTTTCTCAGGGAGTCCTAGAGAGAGGGTGGGGGGTGTCATGAGGGACTATTGTACATGGTTTTAGTGGTGGGGAAACTGGAGCACCCGGAGGAAACCTATAGACGCCAAAGCAACACCATTCATTGCACTTTTTTGCTTGTTTGTAAGGCGACCTTGAGTGTCAACAAAGGAGACTAATAAATAAAATGTATTATTATTATTATTGTTGTTATTATTAGATACAGGGAGAACATGCAAACGCCAAACAAAAGAAACGCCCAGTCTGGAACCAACACTAAAACATTACCAACCCTGTTTGAGCCATGTCAGTACAAATACAACACAACACATGCAAAGTCCTCTTGATACTATTTTTGAATTTAGTTCAGATACTTTCTTGCTAATAATGTGTTGTAATTGCAAAACGTTGCGACAGAAATGCATCATTGCGTCTGGTTTAGGCCCGTTCTGCACTCTTTTGGCTGAGCAATTAAATGGTCAAATGTCCTTTAAGATCTTTCTAAATGTCTCTGTTTACATTCAGCTTTGACAAAAAATTGGTAAATGAAATGACTGAGAAGCTGTAATATAAGATACACTTTGTTGAACTCACAATGGAGATTTTTTTTTTGCCTAAAACACTGATATTTGACTTGTTTTTAACTCAAGCCTGTGCATTTTGAGATGTTTTTCTTTTAAAATCTTAAGTTATGTGAGATTTCAATCTGTGATACGTGCGTTTATGCACATATGTATATGTCATTATGAACGTAACAGTGTTGAATCCATTATTTAAGCTCCCACAGTGGGGAAATGTCAGTGTTGCATCAACAGATGCACAGATTTGAAATATAAAACATGACCCGGCTGTGTTCTGTAGCACAGACAAAAGCTCAGTTTAAAGAATCTCTAAAGTAGTTCCTCACTGAATCACGATGCATCTCTTGACTCCGTCTTTGTCCTTGAACCTCTTGTTGATTTCATTACTTTTCTCTGTTGGAGCCTGAGCTTCTTACTCCGTCACAATCATACGTTTTGACATGTGCAGCTGTGTCCTTTCCTGCGACACCATAATGACTGGAAACCTCTGTCAGGTGAGCCCAGGACCATGTCTGTTCTTACTGCTCTCTGCTGAACACCTGTGTGGTCTGACTTTCCATACGATGGAAGGTCTAAACCAGGCAGGTTATAACTCAGGCCCGAGGGCCAAATCCAGCCCGCAAGACCATTTTTAGTGGCCCCTGAAATAATTTCAATTCTCATTATCACAGTAATTTGCAGTGTTGATGTAGATACATTTCCTTTTAAAATAACAAAAATAACAGCACAAATGTATTTCAATGACAAATGACCTTGTCCTGTGTGTGTCCAGGACAAGCTGCTGGAGGAGATGTGGAAGCAGCAGGACAGCCTGGAGGCATCTGTCACAGTCACAGAGACAGCAGCAGAGGAGCTCAGTGGCTCTGAGGAGGACCGCAACAACCCCCTAATGGACAAGCTCCGAGCGCTGGAGGTAAGTCACTCAATAACACATTTATTACACTGGAATGAACCAAGACAGTATTATGCTCACTGTGATCATTTCATCATTATGATTATGTGGACAACCTGCAGTGCCTCTTAGGTCCCCCAGGGGGCTTTGGACCCAAATAGTACTGCTCTAGCTCAATGAGACCTCTGGAGCTAAACAGGGCAGGGCCTGGTTAGTACTGTGATGGGAAACCGCTGGGAACACGAAGTGCCACAGTGGGGCGGCTGCGGCTGTAAGGTGCCAAACTGTGGTTGTGTCCTTAGGCAAGACAGTAGCTGTGGCTACAGTAGTAGGTCATCACCACTGTGTATGAAGTGAAAGAATCATAATTTGAGGGTTCTCTTTATTTTTCTCTCTCATCAGTCCACTGAAGCAGAGTTGGAGACATAAAGGTGTTTGTGATGCATTGAAAGCTCTCTCTCTCTCTCTGTCTCGCACGCTCTCTCGCTCTCTCTCGCTCTCTCTCGCTCTCTCTCTTTCTGTCTCGCTCTCTCTCTCTCTCTCTCTCTCTCTCTCTGTCCTCTCCTGCCTCCCATTACCGACTTTCTCTGTTAACCGGCCTTCGCCTCCAGTGAAAACAACCACCAAAAATTTAGCAGATTAATCATTTCTGCCCAAAGTCACGTCCCGAGTACCCATAATGCTTTGTGTTCCCCGACGGTAGCAACCTGGGCCTGTAATTGAATCATACTTGGAGCTACTTGAGCAGATAGGAGAGAAGAGAGGAAATTTAAAGCACCATTTGTTTAGTGCAGCCTCTCTCCGCTGAACAGACAGCGCCTTGGGCAAAAAAGCAGCTTTAGATCAAGGACTGCGGACCACGAGGACACAGGACACTGCTGCTTTTGCTTTCACTTATACAGCAATAAAGCATCATTTCAGCTTAGTACACCATAGTATCTTTTTATAGGTAGATACATAGATAGGTAAAGGAAGGTAGGTAGATAGATACAGTAGATAGAGACTGTATTGACCCCCATAGGAGAAATTCAGGTTTCCAGCAACAGAAACACATCCATCCAGACATACAAACAAACACATACGTATTTATAAATACATACAATCATTCTAAAAGTTACTAACAACCTGGTCATATCCATTTGTAAACTCTGTTCCATTATCATTCCCCACACGTACGGTCTGATCCTAGGCTGCAGTTTCCTCGGTTCAATCCCTTCTGACCAATCAGTGAGCAGGGGAGGCGGGTGTTGTAGGTCGGTAACAGTGACGGATGGCGGAAAATGCAATAGTAAAGTAATCTGATCTGGTTCGGCTCCAAATATCAAGAAATTGAAGCTGGAGCAAGAGAAATGTTTAGCAAATGTCATTGCTGCAAAGATATTATGGCTCTACTGGGTAAAGCTAGGCTAAATGCTAAAGCTAGGCTAAATGCTAAATGCCTCACTCGGGCGCATTACATACGTCACGGTAAACTCAGATCCAATCGTTTCAATCTGCAAAAGGAGTTAACCCCTCCCACCTGTTAACAGAGCTCAATGGAGACAATCTAGACCTTAGTACGAAATGAAGTTTGTACGATGGTGTGGTAAGACCAGGTTAGTGCTGGTGCGGAGGCAGAAATCTTCACATTTAGTTCACATAATTAGGACTGTCAAAAATATCCATTCAAACACACATCTCTGACCTTGTAGCTTTGTTCTTTTGGTTTTGCTACAATGACTGTGTTTTGTGTCTTTTACAGGCAGAAAACTCAGCACTGTCTGTTGAGAATGACAACCAAAGGAAGCAGTACGAGCGCTGTTTGGATGAGGTGAGAGAGTTTACTCTGAGGCTGAAGACCAGAAAGAGACCAGAAAGAGAGACGACAGAGAGAGAGACCAGAGAGAGAGACCAGAGAGAGAGACCAGAGAGAGAGACCAGAGAGAGAGACCAGAGAGAGAGACCAGAGAGAGAGACAAGAGAGAGAGACCAAGAGAGAGAGACCAGAGAGAGAGACCAGAGAGAGACCAGAGAGAGACCAGAGAGAGACCAGAGAGAGACCAGAGAGAGACCAGAGAGAGACCAGAGAGAGAGACCAGAGAGAGAGACCAGAGAGAGCGACCAGAGAGAGCGACCAGAGAGAGAGACCACAGAGACAGACCAGAGAGAGCGACCAGAGAGAGAGACCACGGAGACAGACCAGAGAGAGAGACCAGAGAGTGACCATAGAGTGACCAGAGAGAGACCAGAGAGAGACCAGAGAGAGAGACCAGAGAGAGACCAGAGAGAGACCAGAGAGAGACCAGAGAGAGAACCAGAGAGAGACCAGAGAGAGACCAGAGAGAGACCAGAGAGAGACCAGAGAGAGACCAGAGAGAGACCAGAGAGAGAGACCAGAGAGAGACCAGAGAAAGACCGGACAGAGACCAGAGAGAGACCAGAGAGAGACCAGAGAGAGACCAGAGAGAGAGACCACAGAGAGACCAGAGAGAGCGACCAGAGAGAGAGACCACAGAGACAGACCAGAGAGTGAGACCAGAGAGTGACCATAGAGTGACCAGAGAGAGACCAGAAAGAGAGACCAGAAAGAGAGACCAGAAAGAGAGACCAGAGAGAGACCAGAGAGAGACCAGAGAGAGACCAGAGAGAGACCAGAGAGAGACCAGAGAGAGACCAGAGAGAGACCAGAGAGAGTCCAGAGAGAGACCAGAGAGAGACCAGAGAGAGACCAGAGAAAGACCAGACAGAGACCAGACACAGACCAGACACAGACCAGACACAGACCAGAGAGAGACCAGAGAGAGAGACCAGAGAGAGACCAGAGAGAGACCAGAGAGAGACCAGAGAGAGACCAGAGAGAGACCAGAGCGAGACCAGAGAGAGACCAGAGAAAGACCAGAGAGAGACCAGACAGAGACCAGAGAGAGACTCGAGAGAGACCCGAGAGAGACCGAGAGAGACCAGAGAGAGACTAGAGAAAGACCAGAGAGAGACCAGAGAGAGACCACAGAGAGAGAGACCAGAGAGAGAGATCAGAGAGAGAGACCAGAGAGAGACCAGAGAGAGACCAGAGAGACCAGAGAGAGACCAGAGAGAGACCAGAGAGAGACCAGAGAGAGACAGAGACAGAGACCAGAGAGAGACCGAGAGAGAGACCCGAGAGAGACCGAGAGAGACCAGAGAGAGACTAGAGAAAGACCAGAGAGAGACCAGAGAGAGACCAGACAGAGACCCGAGATAGACCCGAGAGAGACCCGAGAGAGACCTGAGAGAGTCCTGAGAGAGACCAGAGAGAGACCAGAGAGAAACCAGAGAGAGACCAGCGATCAACCAGAGAGAGACCAGAGAGAGACCAGAGACAGAGACCAGATACAAAAACAACAATAGAAAGGTGTACAAAGTTCTATGATACCAGTCTCTTTCCTTTATTGTTATTTTTTGATATTGTGTCTAATCTCACAGAAACGAACTGAAACCAAAGTAAATCCGTATGAAATCTCGTGGCATTTTGTGACATTTCTGTTTGGACACGGTGTGGACGCAATAATGCACTTATTCACATCCTCTTCAGAAGTCCCATTTTCGATATCTGAAGCAAATCAAACCAAGAGAAATCATTTATACAACATTTCTGTGCCCACTGGTCTCCATGGCGATAGAATTATCATCACTGATTGTTCTGCAGACATTTAAATGTAGATGTGCACTTTTAGCTGGAGTTGACTGAGCTAGCAACGAGCATTCCAGACAGAGCTTTGACGTCTCCAGTTGTCTGACTGCCGCCGCTCCTGATTGGCACACTGGTTGCTAGGCGGTTGCTACCCACGAATTTGCATGAATTTGGTTCTCATGTAACAATTCTACTACTTTGGCGCCTAAAGGGGTTAAACAGGTCACCATAATTTGGGAATCAACGTGGAGGTAAAGGTTTAGTTCTCTAGTGGTCAGATCCGATCAGATCTCTGAAGCTGGGCCTGGTCAGTACTGTGATGGGAGACCTCGGGGAACACCATGTGCCACAGTGGGGCGGCTGTGGCTCTAAAGTGCCAAAGTGTGGTTGTGTCCTTCACCCACCATGAGTCTGGTGTGTGTGTGAATGGTTGGTGGTGGTGGGAGGGGACGATGCCACAGACGTGTTACCTCGCATCTGCCAGTGTGCCCCAGGGCAGCTGTGGCTACTGTAGTTTATCTCCACCGTGTTTGGAGTGATAGAATAATGACATGTGAAGCTTTTTTAAGTGTCCAAAAAAGCGCTGTATAAAACTGATGCATTCCTTCTACTATCCTTAAGTACTTTATGACACATTGTTTATTATGATAACTTTACAACTCCTCTCCCAAGCTACACACATCCTAAACTGGGCTGTGGTTTTGTTTTGACTCCTCGTGGCTGCGTGGAGATCTGCCCAGCCCTGAGACCTACTCTCTGCTCCTCTGAGTCTGGTTTGGTTCATGATTGCAGAGGTCTGAAAAGGAAGAGCAACAGATCTAATTAAAGCTGCTTCTTGTACTCAGCGGGAGGTTCCAGAGTCAAAAGGTTTCTCACATCCACAGTCTTTCTATTCATTACTTTTTGGTTATTATTTTTCTATTTCTTTACCACTCAAAGCTACTATACTTTTGGGTTGGATTCATTTGACGTTTGACATTAATGTAATATCAGAGTGTCAGAATTTGACACACACAAGGTTCATACTTGGTAGAATTTCCTTTTCACTTTACACTGGTGGAAGTTTGGCCCATTCCTCCTGACAGAACTGATTTAACCGAGTCAGTTTTGTTGGTATACTTCAGCTTTGCCCCAAAATGTTTCAATTGCATGTTTGTGGTCGTATTCTAGAGACCAAATACTTAATGACACATACGTAGTTACTTAATAATTAATCTTGTGTTTCATGTTTTAAAGGTGGCAAACCAAGTGGTGCAGGCCCTCCTCACTCAGAAGGTACGTCCTCTTTGAGATACAAACACACAGCAAACAATGATAAAAATATAAGATAATACATGCTGGAATCAAGTGCTTTTAGTTTAATTTTGGTGTATTTTGACTGTCCTAAAACAAGAATTCAGATACAGATTGAGATTTCTTTATTTATCCCACCAGGGGCAGATTTTCTAAGACTGTTTGTCTCTGATAGGCCAATGAGACAAACAGTTTAGTCTAATGTTTTTTTCTCATTCCAGATATCTTGAATTCGCTTGTATCTTTTTCATGTATATTTTTTGCTTTTTTTTCACCGTCAAAAAGTGCTCGAATTATGATAAAAAACACTTGATAAAAGCATTGATTGTCTTTTATTTGATCTTTATTGCAGTGTAGTCAAATTTAACATCAGAAACACGTACTGCAGGTGTCTAACTAATGCTTTGTGGAGTCAGGACTTGAAAGAGGAGTGTGTGAAGCTGAGGACTCGTGTGTTCGACTTGGAGCAGCAAAATCGTATCCTCAGCGTTCTGTTCCAGCAGCGGGTCAAGATGGCCGCCGCACCACACTCTCAGGTAACATGCTGTCACATAAAAACAAACACCAACATGGCCGCCGCACCACATTCTCAGGCAGCATCACAAACAAACGCCAACATGGCTGCCGCCCCACTCTCCCATGTAACAAGCTGTCACATGCAAAAATGTGTCTCTTTAGTCTGTCTCTCTCTGGTCTCCCTCTCTCATCTCTCTGTCTCTCTTGCTTATGTCTCTCTCTGCTCTCTCTCTCTCATCTCTCTCTCTCTCTGCTCTCTCTCTCTTGTCTCTCTCTCTCTGCTCTCTCTCATGTGTCTCTCTCATATCACTCTCTCTCTGCTCTCCTGTCTTCCTCTCTCTGCCCTCTCTGCTCTCTCTCTCTATGCTCTACTCTCTCTCTCATATCACTCTCTCTCTGCTCTCCTGTCTTCCTCTCTCTGCCCTCTATGCTCTTCTCTCTCTCTCTCTCTCTCTCCCTCTCTCTCTCTCTCTCTGCTCTCTCTCTCTCTCTGCTCTCTCTCTCTCTCTGCTCTCTCTCTCTCTGCTCTCTCTCTCTGCTCTCTCTCTCTCTCTCTCTCTCTCTCTCTGCTCTCTCTGCTTTCTCTCTCTGCTTTCTCTCTCCATGCACCATCAAACATGCACAAAGACAGCAGTAGTAGAACAGTTCTGGTAATGTAACTCGTATGCAGATAAACCAGGAGCCACACTGGTCCTGTCTAATTAGAGTCCCTGTGTCTCGCATGGTCGCTCGTCTCGTTCATCAGACAGCATTAGCCTCTCTCTCGCGCTAATTGTGACAGATTTGAACCCCAGCTTTATAATCCAGCTACCCCTCAAATGTCACTGTAGTCTGTGGACGCTGAACCATCGTGTTGCACAAATTGGTCCTCGCTCAAGCGTGAAGCTCCAGGGCATCGGCGCCACGGATGTATTTTGATATCTGGATCGGGTGCTGCTTTCTTTTCTTTTCTTGCTGCTGTCGGACTGTACGACGAACAATGAGGACTAACGAATACTGCCGACCTGACCTCACATGTAATGCACCTGGTCAATTGTTTGAAATCATGTTAGAATGTGTAACATGGGACCATGTGTGTCCACTGTCACTTTACTTTGAGCCCAGAAACTCATGCTGCTAACATGTACAGTAGTATCACTCTCTGGCCCGTCTCACTGGTCTCTCTCTGGTCTCTCTCTTGTCTCGCTCTCGGTTCTCTATATGGTCTCTCTCTCTCTCTGGTCTCTCTCTCTCTCTGGTCTATCTCTCTCTGGTCCCTTTCTATGGTCTTTCTCTCTGACAAGGGAGAAAGACTCTCCCCTGTTCTCTCTCTCTAGTCTCTCTCTCTGGTCTCTCTCTGGTCTCTCTCTGGTCTCTCTCTGGTCTCTCTCTGGTCCCTCTTTAGTCCCTTTCTCTGGTCTCTTTCTCTGATCTCTCTTTGGTCTCTCTCTCTCTCTGGTCTCTCTCTGGTGTCTTTCTCTGATCTCTCTTTGGTCTCTCTCTCTCTAATCTCTCTCTGGTCTCTTTCTCTGATCTCTCTTTGGTCTCTCTCTGGTCTCTTTCTCTGATCTCTCTTTGGTCTTTCTCTCTTTCTCTCTCTGGTCTCTTTCTCTGATCTCTCTTTGTTCCCTCTCTCTGGTCTCTCTCTGGTGTCTCTTATCTCCCTACCTGGTCCCTTTCTCTGGTCTCTCTCTCTGGTCTCTCTCTGGTGTCTCTCTCTTATTTCCCTACCTGGTCTCTCTGGTGTCTCTCTCTTATCTCCCTACCTGGTCTCTCTCTCTGGTCTCTCTCTGGTCTCTCAGCTCTCCTCTAAAGCTGATCCCTCGTCCATCTGTCTACTGTAAATCCTCTGCCAGATCAAAAACTTTCATTTCAGCCCGACAGCCGCATGTTTTGGTCATTAGCAGAAGACCCCACTCTGTCTGCTCATAGTAAAGTCTTCTGTGTACATTTATACATACAGTTATATATATTATAATTATGGGATGGATCTGAGCATCAAACGGCCTTCGCTCTCACCTGCAGTTCTTGTGTCGTTACTGCTAACATGTTTTTTTTTATTCATGAACTTGTAATTTTCTTCTCTTGTGGCTGCCTTTGATCAGCTCTGTTCATTTAGCAGTTTGTTTATGAAACCTTCCTTAGGCCCGTTTTTAAAAGCTTTGATCATTGGTGAAATAATACTGGTGCTGCGGCCCACACACGGAGCCAGGGCTGAAAACGCTCTTTGAGAAACTAAAGGCTAAAGTTATCGTCACTGAAATAAATTGGCTTAGAACTAAAGATATTGGAATTACCTGCAGTCTATAAAAGCTTGATGTTTTGGTTTTGTTGAGAATTGAAAGGATCACAAACAAGAGTTTTTTTAAATTTCATATCCAGTTGTATGTAAGAACTAGCGACTAATCCATGAAAACAAATGCTACAACAACAAACACATAGAGCGGAATGACCACTGTCCAGAAATGTCCTGAAATATCCAGAAAGGTCCCAGATCGTCACTGTTTGGTGTCGAACTAGTTCCAGAGAAGGCGTCTGTGGCTACAGGTTTTCATTCCAACCAAGCAGGAACAGAGCAGACTCCCCCCAGTACCTCAGGTTCTCAGGTTAAGACTGAGGAAATGGAGTCTGGTATGCTCCTGCTTGGTTGGAATGAAAACCTGCAGCCTCACTGGCTTCATTTACTTTTTTTTAACTTGTCTGTTCTTTATAAAAAATAGACTGTTACTTTACTTAGTTACTTTCTTTAGAGAGTAACTAAGTTACGTTACTGTTGTGTTGTAGTTCATTCAACTTTGAAGAAAGGATATTTCTTTCATCTCTCAAAAAGAGATAATGTGCTGTGTTGCACTTTACACACGAAGAGTCAGGTAAAGTGCAACACTCACGATGTGCAGCGGCAGCACTGGCAACCTCTTGCTTCACATACCATGTGTCGCGCACCAGGTGTCACACATACTGTGGAATACGAACAGCAGATGGTCACAGCTGCCCATGGTAAATACAAAGAAACGTTGCTGCGAATCGAAACAGGAACAGTGCTACGTTATAATACTAGTTGCCGCGTTACTTTTTTGTTGTTCGCTCAAACCAACACTGGTGCTGAAGGACTGAGGCTCCCACACAACCAGTGTGGGATAAAACCAATGCCTTTGTTTTGGTATTTTAAACATATCAATTGATTTACGATTCAGATTAATTTTGTTTGCCATTTGCAGTAAAACCACATTGGATTAAATGTCCCCAGTGTGCAGCAGACAAGTGAAAGTACAGGTATAAAAGACAAAACAATCGATCAAAATAAAAGTTTCAACCCTGGGACAAGCAGATAAACTGAGGCTTTGAACACATTTTAACTTAAACTTTGAATATATATATAGTCCTTCATAGTTGTAAAAACTACTGCACAACAACATCAAAACAATACACACAAACTCCTGGATGTTTTAGTGGACATCTGTCTCTGCTCTTGTTTTTTTGGCTTCATTTTGAGAACTAAAGATCCGTGTTGCAACAAAATGTAACAAGTTTCTCTCAAAGTAAAGTCAGTGCAACGGCTGGAAACACTAATATTTGATAACAGACTGACAGATCCAACTCCCGGGAAACTCCAGAAAGTCCTTCGAAAATCCATGTCTGACCAGATAATTGAGCCAGGAAGGAGTTAGTGTTAGTGGAGGAAGTTGTTTGAAGGAGAGGTCACCTTTGCCCTCTCCTTCAAACAACTGTGTGGGCAAAAAGTGAAATACTGCAGTTGTACTATGAAAAATGTATCAATAAATGTAAAATATTTGTATGAATTGATTATCGGTTAACGGTTTTGTCTATGCAATTCCACTCATTATACTAACAATAAGATACGTTTTACACATATAGTGGCTTTCTGGACTCTCTCTGGTCTCTCTCTGACCTCTCTCTGGTCTGTCTCTGGTCTGTCTCTGACCTCTCTCTGGTCTCTCTCTGGTCTCTCTCTGGTCTCTCTCTCTGTTCTCTCTCTGTGGTCTCTCCCTCTGGCCTCTCTCTCTGGCCTCTCTCTCTGGTCTCTCTCTGGCCTCTCTCTCTGGTCTCTCTCTCTGATCTCTCTCTCTGGTCTCTCCCTCTGGCCTCTCTCTCTGGCCTCTCTCTCTGGTCTCTCTCTGGTCTCTCTCTCTCTCTGGTCTCTCTCTCTCTCTGGTCTCTCTCTCTGGTCTCTCTCTCTGGTCTCTCTCTCTGGTCTCTCTCTCTCTGGTCTCTCTCTCTCTGGTCTCTATCTGTTCTCTCTCTGGTCTCGCTCTCTGGTCTCTCTCTCTGGTCTCTCTCTGGTCTCTCTCTCTGGTCTCTATCTGTTCTCTCTCTCTGGTCTCTCTCTGGTCTCTCTCTCTGGTCTCTCTCTGGTCTCTCTCTGGTCTCTCTCTGGTCTCTCTCTCTGGTCTCTCTCTCTGGTCTCTCTCTGGTCTCTCTCTCTGGTCTATCTCTGGATGTAAATTCACTTATAAAACATACACATAATCCTAGACGAGACCACAGGGTTCTCACGCGTCCATATTGTTCTTGTTTGAATAAGTCCTAAGTCATTGTTTCGTCGCTTTGAAGTGCTCTCATTATAGAAACGCCGTCGTTGCCGATGGTAACGATGATGAATGTACTTAGTTTTCTCGGACACGTTCAGAGCAGCGCCTCACTCTGAGACATGCTGCCCTTTAACGCAAAGGCCAAAGATGAAGCCCAATGTTTACTGCTCCTCTGGACTCTGGACGTGTCCAGGACTCGGCTGCTTCTGGTTTTTTAATCTGTGTTATTACAGAGGTTTGTTTTTCTTTCAGACCTGGCATAACGTTGGATCATCAGAGCACAATGCTACGTCCTCTTTCTTAACATGTACCACTATGGTTCATCAAAGTAGGGTCTGGTTAGTGCTGTGATGGGATACCTCAGGAAACAGCAGGTGCCAAAGTAGCTAGATAGATAGACAGATATAGATATAGATATAGATATAGATATGGATATAGATAGACAGATATAGATGGATGGAAATCATATCACATACAAACTTACACACACTAACCACTGAAACTGTTACTGCTGTGTTTCTTATCAAATGAAAATAAAAATGAACTTCACACTTGGTGACAGGGTGAGGATGGTGAAGATCCACAAGTAATCCACTATAGTAGTATAGAGACTACAGACTGTGGCCTGGAACCAACCACATCCACATCCACTCTTGACATACACACATTGGGCTCGCTCACACACACACACACACACACACAAATAAACAAAAATGGCCTCACACTGTTACAGACAACATTAACTAAATTCCTAACACTTCTGTCATGAAATCCAGCAAAAACAGTGACCCCACTCCCTACTTCCTTATCTTCCTTATCTGTATGAATTGCATGTAAATATTGATTTGCATTGTTTCTTTATAATGCAATTTTTCACTTACTTCATTGATGCTTCCAGAACAGATTAAAAATAAAAAAGAAGAAAAAAACATCTAGAAATTCAGGTGTCCACAACAGGTCAAATTGACCCACCACGGGGACTTTTCAACAACAGCCAAAAATAATGTAATTTTGATTATTTCCCTTTTTGACCCTAATTAAGGCATTTTCCCGAGGGTTGGTTTAAAACATTTTTCATTTTCTCACAAACTTAAAGGTACCCCAGCTTTAAATCTGTCTTTGCCACCACAGAAGAGCGACAGAATAGTCCTGTAGTCACTCCCACCCAAAGCAGTCATTATGACTGACATGACTTTTTCCTATTCGTTTGCAAAAGGTAACATCATTTAGAAAGAATGTTTTGTGAGAGAAAGGTCAGATACTTCAGCTTTAAGTTTGAAAGACTAGTGTTAAACTGAACAGGTGTAACCTTGCTGAGGGCCTGTGATCCACATGAGTGCGTCTGATGAGAAGCTAAAACCAAAACGTGCATAAACGCTCTCGTCCTTGTGCTTTAACGGTCTGATGAGCCTCCGCTGCTTTACTGTTCGGCCGAAAACAGCTCAATGGAAAATAATTTGTGTCCTCAACAAGCTGCAGTCTTTCTGCTTCCCCCACGGCTTAGAATAGATCCAAGAAGAGAGAAGATGAGATTCATACATAGCAGTCATGGATGGACAGTTTGCATCATACCTGGTGCTGGAGGTAGATGATCCAATACACTTTATTTATATAGCCACAGTATGAGCCGTTATTAAGTTTTAGTAAGAAATTGAATGTTGTACTTGTACAAGCCGCGCTTTATTATAAGCCACGCCTTTTAAAAATGAAAAATGTAACTCAAAAACGTTCATCCTCTTATTACTGTAAGAAGTGAGTCTCTGGCTGTTGTTAATCTTCCAACTGCTTCTCATCAATTTTGTGGGTCCACAGTTTCAGTTGCAGTTACTTGGCAAAAGGTTTTTGGTGCCACAGAAAAAAATTATTATAATCAAGCCACTCCTTGAAGGTATATAGAAAGATTTTTCCAAAATTTTAGAAAAGAACCGCCCACCCCACTTTTTGAACAAAACTTTCTGGTCTTTTTTGACAAGCATGGATCACCAGAATGATTGAAAATTAGGAGGACCAATAGTCTCCATGATCCACCCGGAAGTAGAAAATCCTCATAGATACCTTTAAAGGAGCAATATGTAAAAATCTGGCCAAAAGTGGTACTGCAGTCACAGTCAATATTTTGTAGTCCTCTCCCACTCTCCCTGACTCAGGTTGCCAGATTCACACCAAATCCAGCAGCAAACACAGGGAATTATGTTATCAGTTGTTTGTCCGTCTCCATTCACATTGCCATGACAGCCGTGCTAATGCTGAATGAATGTTTTGATTGATGTTTTTTTATTATTATTATTTGGACATTTGAGATAAAAAAACAAAAACAAAATAAAAGCATTGTAATTATACATAGTTTATGCAAAATAAATAAGAAATTGATGTCCAAAATAGGAGTGGGAAGAATGGATGTTGGAACGTATTTCTTCAGCGTATCAACATCAGGGTTTGCTCAAGAGGATATCACCTTTCAATTTTATTTATTCCCTATTTTTTAGATAAACATGTAAAAGTCCCACATCAAAAAGAGACTAACATTATTTTAATTGGGGTACATGTGGTCTTAAATGATTATTTTTACAATTAAGCTATAATCTGCAAAAAAACGTCTTGACCTTCATCTTTTACCGTTTTTAGAGCAATCTGTCATAGAATGTGATAACATGCAATAAATACAAAAAGACATAGCCCGGGATCGAACCCGGGTTACTACTTCGTAAGCGCACAGCTAGACCACTAGGCCACCTGTTCACAATAAATTGTGAAGAACGGGCTTAAACTAGAAAATTCTGCATCACACGTGAACTTTTATCAGCTGTCTCAATTGTTCAAAGGCATCCCGATATAAATCCTCGTTTTAGTCTTTGTTTTGTCATTAATGATTTGAGAGTCATAACAAGACCTTTTTTAGTTCTGCGCCACATGTTATTTTACCTCTGAGATTAATGAGCCGCACGGAGTTCTGGCAACCCGATCACGGACTTACATGACACTTCCTGATTGGCGAAACGGCGGAGGGTAGGACATCAAAATCGAAACAATAACAACTTTTACGGGTCGTAAAACTAATTTTGATAATCAAATATCTCGGCTGAACTACTGTTATCAGTTAAAGATGAATTCGAAAAGAGTATGATTTAATAATGCCTTTTGAAATATTCGGGTCATTTAATGATGACTTGACATGCAAATATTACATATTGCTCCTTTAATATAAGCCACAGCAGCCCCAAATTACGGTAATAACTCTATACAAAAATAAGATAAAATAGAATCTCTAACTCTAGCATAAAAAGCAAGTATAAAAATGTCTACCTTTAAGACGTCTAAAATCTCCAACTTTAGCCTCATGAAGGAGTAAGACTTAAGTACAAAATCCCAGACATTTGTGATTGAGCGTTTTGTTCCACGTTATCGCTGGTGTCAGACGTTCGATAACCTCCGACACGGCTCCAGTAATTTGTCCACGATTGTTCCCGGCGACGTGTTCTTCTACAATGTTGGAGATTGAAGCGACGAGGATGTACAATCAAATGGTACGTGGATATCAATGAATGGAGCAAATGAGTTGAGTCCCCAGCTCCCGTGTGCAATTAAATCTCATTCACATTAATTATTGCTAACAGATGACACTAACGACTTTGAGAGGAAGCCCCAGTACAAACGATCACAGCGACGGTGAAACCGCGGTAAAGTGGCCCTGCATTTCGTCGCGAGCGGTAAAGAGGTCCGCACTTTGAAAGCGGTTGGCTCTTTTATGCTGTTACTTACGGTAAATGTGGAAAGGGAAGCCGTGACGACGAGAAAGCAAAATGCTATATCTTTTAAAAAATCATTAAAAAAGAACAAAAAGAGGTTTGACAATACTTTCACTGCACACTTCTTCAATGAGATGCTCTTTACCACTGTGTAAAATATCATTCATTTTTACTCTAGAAATTCTGAGAAAATGGGGGTCAAAATGTGCCATTTTGGTCCCAAAAGCACTTTTTAAAATTCATTTTTAAAAAATCGAAAAAAGTTCCCTGACTGCTTTCACTGCACACTTGTTCACCAGGATGCCCTCTACCACTGTGTAAAATATCATTCACTTTTACTGTAGAAATACAGAGAAAATGGGGGTCAAAGTGTGCACAAGTGGTCCCAAAAGCACTTTTTAAAAATCATTTTAAAAAAATCTAAAAAAGTTCCCAGACTACTTTCACTGCACACTTGTTCACTGGGATGCCCTCTACCACTGTGTACAATATCATTTACTTTTACTGTAGAAATCCAGAGAAAATGGGGGTCAAAGTGTGCACAAGTGGTCCCAAAAGCACTTTTTAAAATTAATTTTAAAAAAATCTAAAAAAGTTCCCTCACTACTTTCACTGCACACTTGTTCACTGGGATGCCCTTTACCACTGTGTAAAATTTTATTCGCTTTTACTGTAGAAATCCAGAGAAAATGGGGGTCAAAGTATGCACAAGTGGTCCCAAAAGCACTTTTTAAAATTCATTTTAAAAAAATATAAAAAAGTTCCCTGACTGATTTCACTGCACACTTGTTCAACAGGATGCCCTCTACCACTATGTAAAATATCATTCACTTTTACTGTAGAAATCCAGAGAAAATGGGGGCCAAAGTGTGCACAAGTGGTCCCAAAAGCACTTTTTAAAATTCATTTTAAAAAAATATAAAAAAGTTCCCTGACTGATTTCACTGCACACTTGTTCAACAGGATGCCCTGTACCACTGTGTAAAATATCATTCACTTTTACTGTAGAAATCCAGAGAAAATGGGGGACAAAGTGTGCACAAGTGGTCCCAAAAGCACTTTTTAAAATTAATTTAAAAAAATCTAAAAAAGTTCCCTGACTACTTTCACTGCACACTTGTTCACTGGGATGCCCTTTACCACTGTGTAAAATATCATTCACTTTTACTGTAGAAATCCAGAGAAAATGGGGGTCAAAGTGTGCACAAGTGGTCCCAAAAGCACTTTTTAAAATTCATTTTAAAAAAATCTAAAAAAGTTCCCTGACTGATTTCACTGCACACTTGTTCAACAGGATGCCCTCTACCACTGTGTAAAATATCATTCACTTTTACTGTAGAAATCCAGAGAAAATGGGGGTCAAAGTGTGCCATTTTGGTCCCAAAAGCACTTTTTAAAAAAATCTAAAAAAGTTCCCTCACTACTTTCACTGCATACTTGTTCACTGGGATGCCCTCTACCACTGTGTAAAATATCATTCACTTTTACTGTAGAAATCCAGAGAAAATGGGGGTCAAAGTGTGCCATTTTGGTCCCAAAAGCACTTTTTAAAATTCATTTTAAAAAAATATAAAAAAGTTCCCTGACTGATTTCACTGCACACTTGTTCAACAAGATGCCCTCTACCACTGTGTAAAATATCATTCACCTTTACTGTAGAAATCCAGAGAAAATGGGGGTCAAAGTATTCACAAGTGGTCCCAAAAGCACTTTTTAAAATTCATTTTAAAAAAATATAAAAAAGTTCCCTGACTGATTTCACTGCACACTTGTTCAACAGGATGCCTTCTACCACTGTGTAAAATATCATTCACTTTTACTGTGGAAATCCAGAGAAAATGGGGGTCAAAGTGTGCACAAGTGGTCCCAAAAGCACTTTTTAAAAATCATTTAAAAAAAAACTAAAAAAGTTCCCTGACTACTTTCACTGCACATTTGTTCACTGGGATGCCCTTTACCACTCTGTAAAATATCATTCACTTTTACTGTAGAAATCCAGAGAAAATGGGGGTCAAAGTGTGCCATTTTGGTCCCAAAAGCACTTTTTAAAAATCATTTTAAAAAAATCTAAAAAAGTTCCCTGACTGATTTCACTGCAAACTTGTTCACTGGGATGCCCTCTACCACTGTGTAAAATATCATTCACTTTTACTGTAGAAATCCAGAGAAAATGGGGGTCAAAGTGTGCCATTTTGGTCCCAAAAGCACTTTTTAAAATTAATTTTAAAAAAATCTAAAAAAGTTCCCTCACTACTTTCACTGCACACTTGTTCACTGGGATGCCCTTTACCACTGTGTAAAATGTCATTCACTTTTACTGTAGAAATCCAGAGAAAATGGGGGTCAAAGTGTGCCATTTTGGTCCCAAAAGCACTTTTTAAAATTCATTTAAAAAAAAACTAAAAAAGTTCCCTCACTACTTTCACTGCACACTTGTTCACCAGGATGCCCTCTACCACTGTGTAAAATATCATTCACTTTTACTGTAGAAATCTAGAGAAAATGGGGGTCAAAGTGTGCCATTTTGGTCCCAAAAGCACTTTTTAAAATTCATTAAAAAAAAATCTAAAACAGTTCCCAGACTATTTTCACTGCACACTTGTTCACCAGGATGCCCTCTACCACTGTGTAAAATATCATTCACTTTTACTGTAGAAATCCAGAGAAAATGGGGGTCAAAGTGTGCCATTTTGGTCCCAAAAGCACTTTTTAAAAATCATTTTTAAAAAATCTAAAAAAGTTTCCTCACTACTTTCACTGCCTACTTGTTCACTGGGATGCCCTCTACCACTGTGTAAAATATCATTCACTTTTACTGTAGAAATCCAGAGAAAATGGGGGTCAAAGTGTGCACAAGTGGTCCCAAAAGCACTTTTTAAAATTCATTTTAAAAAAATCTAAAAAAGTTCCCTGACTGATTTCACTGCACACTTGTTCAACAGGATGCCATCTACCACTGTGTAAAATATCATTCACTTTTACTGTAGAAATCCAGAGAAAATGGGGGTCAAAGTGTGCACAAGTGGTCCCAAAAGCACTTTTTAAAATTCATTTTAAAAAAATCTAAAAAAGTTCCCAGACTACTTTCACTGCACACTTGTTCACCAGGATGCCCTCTACCACTGTGTAAAATATCATTCACTTTTACTGTAGAAATCCAGAGAAAATGGGGGTCAAAGTGTGCACAAGTGGTCCCAAAAGCACTTTTTAAAATTCATTTTAAAAAAATCTAAAAAAGTTCCCTGACTGATTTCACTGCACACTTGTTCACCAGGATACCCTCTACCACTCTGTAAAATATCTTTCACTTTTACTGTAGAAATCCAGAGAAAATGGGGGACAAAGTGTTCACAAGTGGTCCCAAAAGCACTTTTTAAAATTCATTTAAAAAAAAACTAAAAAAGTTCCCAGACTACTTTCACTGCACACTTGTTCACTGGGGGGGCCTCTACCACTGTGTAAAATATCATTCACTTTTACTGTAGAAATCCAGAGAAAATGGGGGTCAAAGTGTGCCATTTTGGTCCCAAAAGCACTTTTTAAAAATCATTTTTAAAAAAATCTAAAAAAGTTTCCTCACTAGTTTCACTGCATACTTGTTCACTGGGATGCCCTCTACCAGTGTGTAAAATATCATTCACTTTTACTGTGTAAAATATCATTCACTTTTACTGTAGACATTCAGAGTTCAAATTGTGTGTCACTACCACTGTGTAAAATATCATTCACTTTTACTGTAGAAATCCAGAGAAAATGGGGTCAAAAGTGTGCCATTTTGGTCCCAAAAGCACTTTTTAAATTCATTTTAAAAAAATCTAAAAAAGTTCCCTGACTACTTTCACTGCACACTTGTTCACTAGGATGCCCTCTACCACTGTGTAAAATATCATTCACTTTTACTGTAGAAATCCAGAGAAAATGGGGGTCAAAGTGTGCCATTTTGGTCCCAAAAGCACTTTTTAAAATTCATTTTAAAAAAAACTAAAAAAGTTCCCTCACTACTTTCACTGCACACTTGTTCACAGGATGCCCTCTACCACTGTGTAAAATATCATTCACTTTTACTGTAGAAATCCAGAGAAAATGGGGGTCAAAGTGTGCCATTTTGGTCCCAAAAGCACTTTTTAAAATTCATTTTAAAAAAATCTAAAAAAGTTCCCTGACTACTTTCACTGCACACTTGTTCACAGGATGCCCTCTACCACTGTGTAAAATATCATTCACTTTTACTGTAGAAATCCAGAGAAAATGGGGGTCAAAGTGTGCCATTTTGGTCCCAAAAGCACTTTTTAAAAATCATTTTTAAAAAATCTAAAAAAGTTCCCTGACTATTTCACTGCACACTTGTTCACTGGGATGCCCTTACCACTGTGTAAAATATCATTCACTTTTACTGTAGAAATCCAGAGAAAATGGGGGTCAAAGTGTGC